CTATCTATCTTTTTTCCCTGTATCTGAGCATCTATCCTCCTTCCTATCTCTTTCGCTCTTCTGATTCCTCTCTCATCTATCTATCTATCTATCTATCTATCTATCTATCTATCTATCTATCTATCTATCTATCTCAAACTGCTTATAACTATGTATGTAAAATACATATATCCACACAGAAACACGCATACATATATATACGCATATATACACACACACAAACATATATATATATATATATATATATGCATATAGGTAAAATAGCAGGACAGACTGGGTTCTATAGCCTTGGATGGCAACTGGTCTAGGAGAAGGACAACTCTGAATTCAAAACCTTCGGAGGGTCGTTTGGGAACCTTGTGGCATTCGGTGCACCAGGTTTCTGTATTCGTCCCTTCAAAAAGTGTGGATGGTCCTGCACGAAGCCTTCACCACTATAATCAAATCTCATGTGCCGGTGTCGGGCTGTCGGTTTCCTGAAACCTGATCTGCTTGACCCTCATACGTCGAATCTCGACGGGAGAGTCGATTATATATATATATATATATATATATATATATATATATATATATATATATAAATAAATCATTTTCATCAAAAAGTTACCTAACATCGTTTGATAATGAAACAAATTTAAAGTTCCAAATCATAGAAATTTCCGTGTCACAATGTAAAACATTTTTTAAATATATATATATATATATATATATATATATATATATATATATATATATATATATATATATATATATGTGTGTGTGTGTGTGTATTTATGTACATGTATATATGCATATGTATATATATTTATATATATAGATACATATATATATATATGTATATATATTATATACATACATATATATATGCATATGTGTGTGTGCATATCTGTTTATAATCTATTTATCTATCTATCTCTTCTCATATATGACTATCTCTTCGTATCTATCTATGTATCTATCTATCTAAGTCTTTTCATATCTATCTATTTGAAATATTCAGGGTAGCACCCACTCGAGAGTCTGTTTCACATAGTGCTTGTTCACTAGTTGTTCTCGAATGACAGCTAGTTCGGCTCTTGGTGAAATTCTAAAACGACTGGAAGCAAAAATATGTCATCCATTATTTGCTTTTATTGAAATAAAATTAAAGGCTGCTAAATGTATTGCTAATAAAATGAAAAAAAAATGATATTTGATGAATTGAAATTTAGATTTATTCGATTTTAAAAAATTTCCATTGAAAGTTCCAATGTTGCTTTTCATAATCACCAATTATCAGGCTCAAGAGCCACATAAAGTTGATGATTATTGTAAGTGAAGAAGTCAAGATTGTAGTGAGCAGGTAAACACCAACCTAGAGTCTGTTCCAAAAAAAACACCAGTACTTTGGAAGAAGCTGTTCCTATTGGTTCTTCTTTTTTACTAATGGAATACACGAGAGACAATTAAAATGATTATTATGATTCATTCTTGTGTTCGTGACATTTTCTACGTTACTTAGGGACTGTGATTGAAATGCTAGGATCGTTGCCACTTTCCTGGAAGAAAACTAAGCGAACATGAAAACTGTTTTAGCGTCCGGCGAAGGTGATATTGAGACGGAAAGATAAAAAAAGAATTTCAATACACATTGGAATTAATTACACAGTATGATATAAAGATTAATTGGACTTTGATAACCAGACGCTTTCTCTATAGCTGAGCGGTATAGCACGTCAGATCAATTGACGATTCCGTATAGGACATATTGTCGACGAAATTTCTCGAACACTCAGGATGATAAATATAAACGTTAAACATATAATAACCGTCCTGTATAAGAAATGCTTACCTTCATTTCTCACCAAAAAAAAAACCATAACTTTCTTCCTGATTTTCAATGCATTCTTACAATAAAAACATTAGCAATACATTTGGATTCAGCATATAATACCCTTATTCTATCAGCAATTCTTTCATTCATTCCTGACCTTTGACAATCCCTTACTTCCTGATTTTCAATGCATTCCTATAATAAACTCATTAGCAATGCATTTACATTTTACATATAATAACCATATTTTATCAGTAATGCTTGCCTTCATTCCTGACCACTGACAATACCTTTCATCTTGATTTTCAATGCATCCCTATAGTAAAATCATTAACAAGATATTTACATTATACATCTAATAGCCCTATTCTATCAGTAATGTTTACCTTCATTCCTGACCACTGACAATCCCTTTCTTCCTAATTTTTATGTAAAATTTTTTATGTAAATTTTTATAGTAAAATCATTAACAATGCATTTAAATTATACATATAATAGCCCTATTCTATCAGTAATGCTTGCCTTCATTCATGACCAATGACAATACCTTTCATCCTGATTTTCAATGTATTCTTATAGTAAAACCAATAATACTGCATTTATATTATACATACAATAGCCCAATTCTTTCAGTAATGTTTGCATTAATTCCTGACCACTGACAATCCCTTTCTTCTTGATTTTTAGTTCATTAGCAATGCGGTGGAGTAATGGATAGCGGCTAGGATTGAGGAATCGGAGAGCCGAGTTCGATTTCCAGTCGAATCCGTTACATTCACTTACGTGGTAATACCCTTGGGAAAGGCATGAACTCTCTTCTCCCCCCCCCCCGGCTATGGGTAAATAGCCTTGGATAGCAACTGGTCTACCGGAGAAAGAAATGGCAACTTACTGCAAGAAAAAAAACTGCCTTGTCAGTCATGTATTAAAAATACATGATAGCCTAAGCGTATAACACTCAAGGCACATAACTGACTGATAGATAGATAGATAGATAGATAGATAGATAGATAGATAGATAGATAGATAGATTATGTGAGAGTGATATCAAATTACCAGGTTATAGTCTATATATATATATATATATATATATATATATATATATATATATATATATAATGTGTGTGTGTGTAGAGAGAGAGAGAGACACACACATGCACACATACAGAGAGAGAGAGAGAGAGAGAGGAACAGATCGAGATAGATTTGAACAAACTGGGATAGATAGATAGATAGATAGATAGATAGATAGATAGAATTATGTTACAGATATCAAATCATCAGATCATAGTATATATATATATATATATATATATATATATATATATATATATAGAGAGAGAGAGAGATAGATAGATAGATAGATAGATAGATAGATAGATAGATAGAAACGTTCTAATACCCTTGGGAAAGGTATCAATACTCTTCTCCCCCTTCTATAGTCTTGGATACAGAAAGGAATTATCAACCTACTGCGAGAAAAAACAAACATCTGCCTCGACATTTATGTATCGAAAGATATGCATGGCACATAACTGATTGATAGAATAATTCTCTTCCATCCGTAATGCTTCCATTAATTCCTGATCACTGACAATCCTATGTTTTCTTTTTGTTATTGATGTAGTTATATAGCAAAGGTATTAGCAATGGGCTAACACAATCGACCCACTTAAAGTTAAGTTGGTGTCCTTGTGGGTAGTTGACGAGAAAGAAATCACAATAATTAAAGTGTAAGATCTCTTTTCATATCATGTATTGCTTTGTTTTTGTAACAAGATGCGAAAAGCACAGATTATCTGAGGCCTCCTACATTCTCCGGACGTCACTTCAGAGCAAAACTTCCCACTTAGACTCATCGGTTAGAGTCAACAATACGATATGATATATTTTTACGCGTACGGAAGCATTTAGCTAAGCTTTTTTACCCTTTCATTAAGATCAATGTGTAGCAACTGTTCTTTTCGGGTAGTACGCGATAAGTTCTCCAAGCAGTACTTTGTTTGGTTTGATTTGTTTTACGGCACATCAACCTCAATGGGTCATTCAATGCTGACAACTTTTTTTTTCCTGGTAATATTTTTGTTTTTTCAAAAATCCATTCTGTTAATATTTTTTTCTCAAAAATGTATGGCTGGTAATATTATTTTTTTTCAAAAACGTACAGCTGGCAACATTATTTTTTCAAAAACGTATTATCAGAGGCCTTGCTGTTGGACGTAGTTTATCGGACGCGAATGTAGTTTATCGTCTTACCCAGGACACGGATGTAGTTTATCATCTTACCCAGGATGCGAATGTAGTTTATCGTCTTACCCAGGACACGAATGTAGTTTATCCTCTTACCCATTACGCGGATGTAGTTTATCCTCTTACCCAGGACGCGGATGTAGTTTATCGTCTTACCCAGGACGCGGGTGTAGTTTATCGTCTTACCCAGGACGTGGACGTAGTTTATCCTCATACCCAGGACGCGGATGTAGTATATCATCTTACCCAGGACACGGATGTAGTTTATCGTCTTACCCAGGACGTGGACGTAGTTTATCCTCTTACCCAGGACGCGGATGTAGTTTATCGTCATACCCAGGACGTAAGCTCTATTTAAAGTATTTAAAGAGTTGGATCTGTTACCAGCCATTTCTGATAAATATATGGATGTGCCGGTGGCGTAATTGTTAGAACGAAATTTACAAACCGAGTTCGATTTTCAGAGGAGTCGGTTACATTCACTTACGTTCAAATACCTTTGAGAAATACATGAAGCCAACTCTTTTGTCCCCATCTATGGGGTAAATAATAAAGTAAGCTTGGCTCATCAACTTTGCTTGGCAACAGATCTAGGAGAACGGCAACAGAATTAACAAATTCGATTAGAGAATCCTCAATTTATGTTCCACGAGACTCGGGACGAATGACAATAGGAGTAATTCATCAATATGATAAGACAACAACACTTAGAAAAAAGAGTCTGCCTGCCTTTTTTGAGGGGGTTATCAGAGAAAATACAAAGGATCTGCGGTCCATATAACATCAGGACAACCTTCAAAAGCTTCGCTTCGAAGATATCTCTCCCGAGTAAGAACCCTTCCACCGCCATAGAGGAGAACATGACTAAAGACTGTGTGTACACTATCCCGTGCAGCTGCGGAAAGAAATATAAAGGGGAGATAGACCGCCCCACTTAAGGTAAGGCTTCAAGAACATCAGAAGG